TTATAACGCAAGCGTCTGTCTTCGTACATTAGATAAACTAATAACTGAGAGGAACATAGCTAACTGTTTTTCTGACTATATTTTTTTTTGTGGTCATGTAGGATAATTCAGTCGGGTGGAAAATTATTCATTCAGTAATTACGTTTTGTTTAACTGCTGTAACGTATATGTAAATTTGCTAACTTATTTACAAAGAAAGTCCTAAAATAGTAACTGTTATAAAATATCTTACCATTCAGTCGCCTGTTCAGACGCTCAAGGGATTTGATTAACCGCTCCTCTTCTATTGACAATGCTGACGGTATTTCAGGTCTTCCTTCAAAATTCAACAGTAAAATAAATTATTCGAGAAAGATGTTCTAGGTGTTAAGTCAAAGGAAACTTTACAAAAGGCTAATACGAACTAAAATTTTAAATAAGGTGAGTAAAGATGATGATTTACTTTTGAGAGGACCATTTATATTTAATTAGTATGTTCGCGTAGGTAGATAACAACTTTATTTTAGTCCCATAGATCGAACACTTTTAATTTTAACGTGCGTCTGCGAGAGGAGGAATCTCGGTATATAAAGATGATTTTGATTTCTATAAAACTAGCTGTTGAATAATAGGGTCTTCATTGTGCAAGAAAATTCTAAAATGTCATTGGTTCCTAAAGTTTAACGTGAAAAATGTGCTGTTTTAAAACAATTCTAATGTTTAGGTATGTTAGTTCTCAAAATAAATATAATTTCCAAAACAAAAAAGTGTCCTTTAAAGTTCCTTTTTCGATTGAGTTTTACTTGAGAAGGCAATGAAGCTGAATAATATTACAGATGATTGCTTCCCCATTGCACTATGACAATCGGAGCGATACTGAAGTATAACAAAAAGGTGCTACAAAAACACTAGACGATTGTGCTATGCAACAAACACTTGATGAACAATACTTCACTGTAGAACGAATCAAACTAAGGTCATTTCTATTGATCATTAACACGACTATTATATACATAATAGAAAATTACTCACTAAGGTTCCTACCTGGATTTCAATTGTTAATTTGCAATCCAACTTTAGATGTTATTTACTTTTTGACGGTTGAGCAGTACACTTGACTCTTACATGCTAAAAACACTGCTAATTCGCTGTATTATTTAGTCATTCATCATCAAAAGAAACAGATGGGAATATGGATTTTTAATGTGTACAAGAACAGGTTAGAGATGATATTAGGGAATGTGGTAAAACTAAATAAATATACTTTACTAAAAACTCCATACTGGATGAGATACCAGTAAACTAGAATTCATATGCTATTACTGTATATTACTGCTCAACTGTCATAAGTAGTACGTTTCGCAGACCCTAAATCAATTTCCATTTTAGTTATTCAAGCCTGATATTGATGATGATCAAGTTTAATTAAAAAGTGGGTAATTAAAACCAGGTTACTTGTGATGTCCATCCTGTCTACAAATATACGGCAGAAAGTACTAATCATAAAAACAATAGAAAGTTATTTATTTCCGAGAATATTTCCACTTGATAATAGGCGATGGTGATTACTGACCGTTAGCTAATCATTTAGTCTAAACGTTAATGTTTGTTTTAATTAAGATCACTTCGAAATTAGAATTTGTATAAAGTGTACACATGATATAAGGAATAAGATTTTCTTCCGTTTTCCATGTAAAGAGAAAAAAAGTTGAATATCTATTAAGTTAATTCCTTGATACACTTCGATAGCGAAACCTTCCTGTGGCTCTCCTTGTGTTACTGCCGGTCCCAAGCATACTTGAAGGAGGAGGGTTGAGCATTGGGTCAGCAACCCCATCCCATGGAAAACAGAATAATCATTCAAAACAATTTAAACTTTTCTGGAGATTGAAGAATCTTCTTTCAGGAAGACTATAGCGCCTCATGGAAAAAGCCTAAATTCTTCGGAAGTCACGAAACCGATGCTCCCTCTAAAAACCAGAGCATCAATTGATATAGGTACATGAAATGTCTAGACAATGTGGGACACCGGGAGGACTAATCAAATGGCAACGGAAATGATGAGAATCAATCCAGCGGTTCTTGGATTAATTGAAACCCATTGGACCCATGCTGGACAGATAAGGATAAATTCGGGGGGATGCTGCAGTACTCCGGTCACGAAGATGGAAATGCTCTATACACTCGAGAGTCGTTCTAATGCTGTCTAGAGAAGCACGAAATGCACTTGTAGGATGAGAATCTCATGAATCCAGAATCATCAAAGCATCATTCAAAACAAAGAAGGAGGGCGTAACAATGAATGTTATCCAGTGTTAAACACCAACCAATTATAGCGATGGAGACGATGAAGATCAGTCTTATGAGAGTCTGAAGTCGGTCGTAGAGAAGTGCTCAGGAAAAGACCTGACTATCCTGATAGAAGACCTACACTCCAAAAGTGGAATGGACAACACCGGATATGAAGATATCATCGGACGACATGGACTCGGAGAGAGACGAGAATGGGGAGAGATTTGCAAACCAATGTGCATTCAGGAAATTGGTTATAGGAAGCATAGTATTCACACACAAAAACATACACAAAGCCTCATGATGATTACGTGATCATCTCGATGGAAGACTTTCATCAATGTTCTGTTTCCCAAAATGATTTACTAAGAAAAGAAGGGTCACTTAAGGCTTCACCTTTGACATGCTTCTTTTCTGAGTCACACATACTTCATGATTTGTGTGGACACTGTTACACCATAAATCGTCCCTCATCCGAGATCCACTTCACGTGATATTCTTCGTCCCAATTTTTATCACCATTCTACAGCCAGTGAATCATATCATCATGAGGCTTGTAGCTAGGGTCCTAACCTCCAAAACTATTAGAAGTCTACTCTAGAGTGTGACATAAACTTTAAATACAAAGGCGTTAACGGCGAACACAACCGTCTGTTATACGTCACATATTTGATAACGTAAATTCGCTAACCTGTTGATACGGGTGCAGAAGTTGGAGTTCTTCAACGAATTTTGACGAACGACTTCACGAATCGGTTTCAAACTTACAGGTGGCAAACAGAAAGCCTATCGCATTATATGGTCAACTATACGTGCATTCCACTTCATTTTACATTATGGACTTCCTTCTGATATCTGTTCTCTTGTGATATGCTACGCTAACAAAACAATTTTCTAGATGCTTCAACATGGTTACAACCATGGGTAATTACAAGGTTACTGTTTAATGATGTCATGCAGAGCCGGTGTGATAAATTGACTATAATATGGTTGTAAGTCATACAAGTTGGTCTGGATATGGACCGCTCAGACCAATAATAAATGAGAATTATGTGGATGAATATTTCTATGTATCATGACCAAGTATATCAGCTATGAATTACCGTCGTGACATCACGTTAGACTGCCAATATCGCTTAATCCATTGACGTATGTGTGACTCAGAAAAGAAGCATGTCAAAGGTGAAGCCTTAAGTGACCCTTCTTTTCTTAGTAAATCATTTTGGGAAACAGAACATTGATGAAAGTCTTCCATCGAGATGATCACGTAATCGCTTAGGTAAACATACACGAGCAATGATATTAGCAAGAATATCATTTCGTTCATAGAACGAAAACTTTTTTTGGGTGATGGAAAATAGTGGTTATTTGCTGTTAAATACTGAAGAAGTTGTTTGTTTATACGCATTCATAAAGCTGTTAGACCTTGACGGCGTGCTTGTTCATTCCGCGTGACACTGGTAATGAAGAAACACAAAGTTAGAGCTGGTGATGTGGGAGTAAGTTCTTGTCTCTGCTTACTTGTTAATTTATTTCAGGCTATTCAGGCATCTGAGTCCTTTGCGGTAATTTCAGAGGACAAGAAACCTACTTTGGATTGCAGCCAATGGCCATTATTGTTAAAAGTAGGTATTTCATAACCACCCCTCAGACTCAGAATGTTCATCTTATGAACGTACGCGAGTGCCATTTTGAGGCCGATACAACAGGTTACTCTCCTTTACACAGACCTCTGGATGAATACATCAAGTTTGTCTGAACCATCTCTCTAACTTTTAAGGAGTGGAGTTATCAACCTCGACAAGCCATGCAACCCATCGTCGCATGAAGTTGTTGCGTGGGTGAAACGGGCCCTTGGAGTCAACAAAACTGGTCATAGTGGCACTTTAGATCCCAAAGTTTCAGGTATGGCAATTTCACTCTTAGTGGCTCAGGCTGTCTTATTGTCTGTATCGACCGTGCTACTAGGCTAGTGAAGTCTCAGCAAAGTGCTGGTAAGGAGTATGTGTGTATATTTAGACTTCACGAGTCCGTGGACGAGATCAAAAAAATACAAAAAGTAAGCGGTTTCTAAACTTGTCAGCATTTTTGCATCTCGGTTGACGCAAGACTGACCTTTGTCCCTTATTGTTCGTCTATAGGCTGTAGAAGGGCTAACTGGAGCATTATTCCAGAGACCCCCACTAGTTGCTGCTGTTAAGCGCCAACTCAGAGTTCGTACAATATACGAGTGTAAACTGTTAGAGTATGAAAAAAGTAAAAATTTGGGTAAGTCTTGTGATCCTGCAACACTAAATTTAGGGTTAATAATGGTGCGCTGTGAGGCTGGAACGTATGTTCGGACGCTTTGCGTGCATTTGGGCTTGCTTCTAGGTTGTGGAGGTGTTATGGAGGAACTTAGGCGGTCGAAAACTGGTTTTATGTCTGAAAGGGTATGTCCAATCAAAGTCCTTCATATTGCAGGACAACCTGGTCACTATGCATGACATACTAGATGCCAAGTGGCTTTATGACAATAGGCGAGATGAGACTTATTTGCGTCGTGTTATAATGCCTCTTGAAAAGCTGCTAATCAAGCACAAACGAATTATGCTTAAGGATACTGCCGTAAGTTCCTTTACGTATAGAAGCATGTGTAGATTAGGTGTGCGCTATTTGCTTCGGTGCGAAACTTATGTTGCCTGGCGTACTCCGTTACGACAACGACATCAATGTCAACGATGAAATAGTCTTGATGACTACCAAAGGCGAAGCCGTAGCTCTTGGTAGGTCGTTTCAGACTAACATTAACTTCAAGCTGTCGCACTAATGACTACTGCAACAATCGCGACGTGTGACCATGGATTAGTCGCAAAACTGAAAAGAGTAATAATGGAGCGTGATCTCTATCCTCGCCAGTGGGGTCGTGGTCCTGTTTCCATGGAAAGGAAAAAACTTGTTGCCCAAGGTTTACTTAAAAAGTTTGCCAAATCTGACGGTGTGACAAATAACCCGAACTCTGTTGGGTAAGTGGTCAATGTTTGATAACGCGTACTTCAGATCCAAAACCAAAATGGAAGTAAGTGAGGCTGGGGAAGCTGTAACGTAAGTTCACTATTTATCTTCGATATTTTTGATAGACGGCGAATTAAAGCACCAAATCCTTCCGACTCAAGTGACGATGAAATGACAAGGTACGTTTAGAATACAATGGCTATGATGATCAAGCATATGTCTGTTTCAATTGATGACGCTATTATCTGAATGTCGCTTCGTTTTTTATCCATCCGAACTAAGTCGGGTTTTTTCTTACATTTCAGCAAAAATTTGAACGATCACGACGGGTGAGTTTCACTAATATCGTTAATGATGAACAAGCATATGTCTGCTCATATTGATGACATTTCTTTCTGATTGTATTCTACTAGTATGGTTATCTTGCTCTTGTTCTTTTCCGTTACAGTCAGGATACGGGAGCTGAAGAATCATCATCCGACGACAGTGACTGACTCTATTTTTCAGAGCTATAAATAAACTGTATATTTTCTCGCAATTGATTGTGTTCTCGTGTGCCTAAATACTGATACTTGAGGACAACAGTCGATGGGCTGACGTAACTTGTGTACAAGAATATTCGTGAAGCATCCCTCTTACTGCGCGTTTATGACTTATAGAATATGACAACTATTCAGATTTGCACGTTTAGAACGTTAACGCATGATATAAGTGGTGTTAATATAAGATGTGTCATCGAAAACACAGCCATTAGCCGATCCCCACTATATTTAAAATATCCAATAAATAAACAATAACCATATTGTCCCCAATGCCAGTTTTCTGGAGTTGGTCAAGTCATTTGTTGAATCTCAAACTACTAAGTCAAATTTATGTCAGTGGATGTCGATATCTTGTTATAACGTTAGCGAGTCGAGGTCACATTAACTATATGCTCACTGATTATCATAAAGAGCGAGTTAGGTGATGAATTGTTGCGTTCACTGTTAGATGAAGTAAGGATGGATATCCTTACTAGAAGCCAATCCCGAAAACACCTGCTGGTTTCGTGTTATCTCGCGTTGCAAGGCGATAAATAATCATCATACCGCTGTTGATTTTTTATTGGTACTCACCAAGACGCTTCGTGCGCCATACAGAGGAACGTAGTTTGGCATAATCGGATTTACCTTAGTTCGTTGGTTTAGCATTCAGACGGAACACTGGGATTCCGGTCGTTACACTAATTGCAGTAATTTTAACCCTGTCCCTTGAATTATTCTACTGGCACCGATATCACTGAAAGTCAATATATACGAACAGGACTACATCGTCTATCCAAACTGACTTTCTGGTTTAAATCCAATGTAGTGTCATTATCGGCATTCCTGATGCATCGGTTTTTTCACCACTCGACCATTACTTATCTAGGGATGGATCACTTATACTGTCTATTAGTTAAAATATTAACTACCAGTTAGTGTTATGCGTTTCGATGTGGCTCGCCAAGTAATTTTTCTACTGAATCATGTCTGGGTTTCTTTTTCTCTGAATTAGCCAGGTCGTTTTTTATTTGGCACATATTGTTAACTAATCTAAACATTTTGAAGCCATTTACATGTTATTTCTAAGTCAATTGCTCCTGCTTTGTTTGATTTACCGTTCAGCTTATGGTTACTGTAGGATTCTTTCCAACCTCTTTGTGAACTCTGGTGTGCGATGGCCTTACTCGGTTTGATTCTACTGGGACAATGAACCAACACTGAACCCTTATCACAAGTCGTTCATCAGGCTGAGCGGATTTAAAGCCGAACGGGAGAACACTGGATATTGAATAGTAGATGGAAAGTGTGGAATGAGATTGAGTGTCAACTCTGGAACATAGTTGAGGCGGTATAGCTCGGCCATCCAGAAGTGATCATTGCGACCCCTTCATTTTTATTTCGAGCATATCATTTCATCCGTAAGCTTGATTGTTTTCTTCAAAGTTTCCCAGAAAAATACCCCGAACCGTCTCAATAATATTAGTTAGTTTTTATATATTTATATAATGAGAAAAACGTGCATGACACTCGTGGACTTTTATACAGTTGTATATGTATTTGATTTGTTCTTCGTTGTAATGGGTACGTATTGTGATCGACTCAGAACTGTTTTATCACTACTGACGAATAATTATATCTGAAAACGAAGAATAGATGAATGAACGTTATAACCGAGTAAATATTTTAAAATTATACTTTGAGGTATACAGTTGGTAAAATGTATGGATCTCCTAATAATATGCTGGGCCTACAAATCTATTGTCGTGACTGGAGTTTCCAAATAAATAAAAACAGTGGATGCAATATTTCAACTTCAAGAGAGTAGTGATAAAGGTAGTTTTCAGGACTCAGTGTTTTATTGAGATAGTGCTGCAAATATTTTTTCAAATTCCCTGGTACGACCGAGAGTGGGAAGAGTCTGCTCTCCCTCTCGAAATGCTCTCACATGGCCATGCGTATATAGCCTCTGCCAGGGAAGTCCTACTCACTGCCTTCTCGTGGCTGGGGTGTTGTTTACGAAAATGAGAGGACGAACAGCGAATGTCCGGCGCTTTAACCGGATCCCGAACCAAACCAATGGTGCACATGGGCTCCAGTATCCTGCGGGAATAAATGGTATATGAACCAATTGTTGGTCGCCGGCTTCCACGGGACTGCATCTACATACGATACCCCACTGCCTTATGGGTCAGACCTCCGGGGAGTGGCCCCCTAAGAAAACCACCTGCTTCGGTTTGGGCACCCGAACAGTATCGCAGCCCTCACACATATCGAATGAGATTTGTGTGGCGCATATGTATTTGGTCCCTCCTTGAACTAATATTTATGTGTTAAAATAAATAATTTTTTCAAACAGGAGTGGATTGTTTCAGCTGTTCAAACAACTGTTAGATTGTGTTTCATCACGTCAGAAGTTCGAATATTTAAAAGTATTTTTACTATTTAAGGCTGTATAAAGAAAATCATGTAGTGACTAAGAATCTCGTTGCTCATGCTGGACGTCCTAAAGAGTAACACGGCAAACGCTGTCAACACACACTTCGGTATCTGCAGTCTACATCGTGACAGTAGGAGTTCCGGATAATCATCGGGGTTGAAAACACTGCCGAATGATATCTTCGTGGTTATCGAAAATTGCAGTAACACTTATGTTTGTTACCGTTTTTTTCTTTGTAACCAGCATCCCTTATAAGGCGAGTGTTATCTAGATATGTAGGTTTTATTTGTTGTGTTACTTAAAAATTGCATTGATTGTAGAATTTACAGTCTGTACCATTAAGATGTGCATCACTCTCAGGTTATCTCGAGACCAGATCATCTATCCATATAAAGTTAAAATCGGAATATGAAATATCCATGGATAGGATGTGCATATCTTTGCGATTTTTAATGGTTGTACATAGCCTGCTTGACAGTTCACTGCGTTAGTACAACGGTAGCCCGGTTTACAACGTGAATTATCATAAAATTAGCCTTATTTATTTGTATCAGAAGGGTCTTTGTAGATTTTAAAGTAATTTCCTTGGTTGAGATCATAGGTCGATTGAAGCTAGACCATCATGAAAAACCCGTAAGCACTGGATGGCCGTTTCATCCTATTGTGGGACTCCTCGGCAGTGCGCATCCACGATCCCACCTCGCGAGATTCAAATCCAGAACCTATCAGTTTCGCGCGCGAGCGCTTAACCACTAGACCACTGAGCCGACATCCAACGATGTTAAGGTCTAATTTCAACCAATCCACTGAATTGAGCGACACATCCACCATTGTCTTCAGTGAGTTAGTATCTTACAACAGACTCAGTTGAGCTCCACTGGTCACTGTTTCTCATTAGAACTCCAGGAAATAGCTCTCGAAGCCAGTCACCCGTGAGCATATGTCAATTAATATCAGAAGGGTTTTCTGGATATTATAGTAGTTTCAATGGTGTCAATTGATTTATGTCATCATAAATGAATTCATAGAAAACATTTATTCCCGACGCTGGAAAAACAGTCGGGGTTTTATGGCATTCGGGTAAATGAAATTTTTTTTAGCTTATTATCACATAGCGATTATGCTGGAGATAGTTTTGTGTTAATTTTGAAGACAAAAATTAACTCTAGTAAGTACCAAACATTTGATTTTATGATATATGTAAAACAACCTACGGTAGGGTCATTGTAGCGCGTTTGGACGTAAATAATCAAGAATTCGCAATCACTATTTACATGGACTGAGCTAAGGGAACAGAGGAACATTGCCGTGCGTTATCATCTATTTTTTTATCCCCTATCAAATGTAAAATCAACGGCTGTGACACATTTTCAAGCGAAATTGAAAACGTATCGCTTTCCGTATCACACATGTTGAATTATCTCTCAGATAAGCGATTCAAACAGATCATATGTTGTTTCCTGTCAATACTTCGTTTGAGTACCGAAGTAGTGATGCGGCGGCTTGCCAACACACTCCATGTCTGGTGTTAGACTGTGCTGCTTCACTTAATTCAGTCAGGAGAACCGGGTAACATCACTGATATTTTTACAATAGTGTAACTCCTCTCTGTACACTCATATATTTACTTGATTAGTGTTGAATACCACTGAAATTTGTCTAATAAATTTGAAAAGTGATTTATTGTGGCGACGGACTGCAAGTATAATACCATTTACTTAGATTAGTTGATAAAAATGGAGTTAGATATAGACATTTAACCAGTTTCCTTTCAGTCTTATTGATGATAGTATGCTTGCTTATAACGCAAGCGTCTGTCTTCGTACATTAGATAAACTAATAACTGAGAGGAACATAGCTAACTGTTTTTCTGACTATATTTTTTTTTGTGGTCATGTAGGATAATTCAGTCGGGTGGAAAATTATTCATTCAGTAATTACGTTTTGTTTAACTGCTGTAACGTATATGTAAATTTGCTAACTTATTTACAAAGAAAGTCCTAAAATAGTAACTGTTATAAAATATCTTACCATTCAGTCGCCTGTTCAGACGCTCAAGGGATTTGATTAACCGCTCCTCTTCTATTGACAATGCTGACGGTATTTCAGGTCTTCCTTCAAAATTCAACAGTAAAATAAATTATTCGAGAAAGATGTTCTAGGTGTTAAGTCAAAGGAAACTTTACAAAAGGCTAATACGAACTAAAATTTTAAATAAGGTGAGTAAAGATGATGATTTACTTTTGAGAGGACCATTTATATTTAATTAGTATGTTCGCGTAGGTAGATAACAACTTTATTTTAGTCCCATAGATCGAACACTTTTAATTTTAACGTGCGTCTGCGAGAGGAGGAATCTCGGTATATAAAGATGATTTTGATTTCTATAAAACTAGCTGTTGAATAATAGGGTCTTCATTGTGCAAGAAAATTCTAAAATGTCATTGGTTCCTAAAGTTTAACGTGAAAAATGTGCTGTTTTAAAACAATTCTAATGTTTAGGTATGTTAGTTCTCAAAATAAATATAATTTCCAAAACAAAAAAGTGTCCTTTAAAGTTCCTTTTTCGATTGAGTTTTACTTGAGAAGGCAATGAA